TATGTATTTACAGTATTTATGCCCCAAATAATTCTGTATCTTGAGGCAGATGGACAGCAGTTTTGTTGCTTTCATGTTTGTGTGTGCATTTCACTAAATGCTCAAAATACAACAAGCAAAGCCTGATACAAAACAAACATGAACTGTGTAATCCTTGTCCATATTTTGGAGTTTTTTTCTCCAGATTTTGGAATACTTGCATAAACACAATGAGATATTTTGAGGATAGGACCCAAATCTAAACCCAAAATTTATTGATGTTTTCATAACACAAAATCTGAAGATAATGTGATGGTCAATATTTTTAATAGTTTTGTACATGAATACATTGAATCATCGGACACCAAAGATATTGTTATCTATACATATGGACAATTTTGAGTTTTAGAATATTTCAGATTTTGGAATTCTAGATTCTTGGAGTCCGCATGGACAACGAGTTTAAAATGAGCCAACAATGTGATGCGGCGGCAAAAAAAGCCAATGGGATTTTGGCCTGCATCAATAGGAGTATAGTGTCTAGATCTGGGTCCCTCAAACTTTTTAAACAGAGGGCCAGGTCGCAGTCCCTCAAACTGTTGGAGGGCCGGATTATAATTTGGAAAAATCATGAATGAATTCCTATGCACTCTGCACAGATCTTATTTGTAGTTCAAAAAACACTTAAAAACAATACAATAATTAAAATGAAGAACAATCTTAACAAATATAAACTTATTAGTATTTTCAAAGGAAAATGTGGTTCTGCTTTTGGCTGATGAGATAGGATTGTTGTTGTTGTGTGCTTTCAAGTTGTTTCAGACTTAGGTTGACCGTGAGCGAGGGCCGGGTAAATGACCTTGGAGGGCCGTACCCGGCCCTTGGGTCTTCGTTTGAGGACGCCTGGTCTAGATCCCGGGAAGTCATGCTACCCCTCTATTCTGCCTTGGTTAGACTACATCTGGAATACTGTGTCCAATTCTGGGCACCACAATTGAAGAAAGATATTGACAAGCTGGAATGTATTCAGAAGAGGGCAACTAAAATGATCAAAGGTCTGGAGAACAAGCCCGTTGAGGAGCGTCTTAAAGAGCTGGGCATGTTTATTCTGCAAAAGAGAAGGCTGAGAGGAGACATGATAGCCATGTATAAATATGTGAGAGGAAGTCATAGGGAGGAGGGAGCAAGCTTGTTTTCTGCTGCCCTGGAGACTAGGACGCGGAACAATGGCTTCAAACTACAAGAAAGGAGTTTCCATCTGAACATTAGGAAGAACTCTCTGCCCCGGAGTGTGGTGGAGGCTCCTTCTTTGGAGGCTTTTAAACAGAGGCTGGATGGTCATCTGTCGGGGGTACTTTGAATGCAATTTTCCTGCTTCTTGGCAGGGGGTTGGACTGGATGGCACATGAGGTCTCTTCCAACTCTATGATTCTATGCTTCTGTGATAAGAGATACTCAACCTGCATATTGTATTTAATACTACAGAACACACTGCTTCTGGAATATATGGAAACTCAACTTTGAAGCCACATCCTTTCAGATCAAACTCTGTTACTAGTTCTTAAACATTTACATTACAGCCTAATGATGGTGGAAGAATTAATTTTATTTTATTGTTAAATAATTTATTGCTAATTTATGACATATCACAAAAGGATCTAGCTTGCAGATACATTTTTCTAGAAGAATTTGGCATACAAGGTTACAATAAAGCAACTTTTATCTGATAAGGGTATCCCAGTGTTCGGTGCCTGATATTGTACAGCATTTAATTGAACAGAGAAATAAATTGGTATTGGAAAGCCTACCTGTCATGTATTTTGCAAGCTGGGACAGGACAAAAAATATCTGCAGAACTGTCATAAGCTCTGGATGCATTTGTAGTAGACAGACTTCATTAAAATCTGTATTTCAAATTAAAGTCTAATGATTTTTCAATTGTAATGACTCATGTATGAATGCTTACTCATTGATTTCTTTTAAATTGAAACAGTTGCCTGACTTGGTAATTATCTACTTTAATGTTAGTTTTTAAAAAACAATTTAATTAAATATAACATGTATGTGTGTATATGCCTTCAAGTTGGCTGTGGAAGTATGGCACCCATCTATTTCATATTACTCAGGCTTTTAAATTCCCCTCCTGCATTTTCCCCAAAAGTGTCTCATCTTTCCCATGCATTCAGCTGCCATGTGAGAAAAGAAGGTAGCCTCAGGTTGTAATTGTATATTCATTTCCTGAACTCTGTGACATTTATCTTTGAGTAGATAGTTGTAGACTCCTGCTGTCAGGCGCCAGTCTTAAAATGTTCTTACTAGGAATGAAAATCCTCATTGGAGCCAATGACACATCCTTTGAATAAGTGAATTTTGGATAGTACTTTGAGACTTCAACATCTATACTCGGTACTTGTTGTACCCTTTTGCCTTGAAGGAATCAAGTGGGAATGTACCAGTTTGAGCGTACCAGTTTGAAAGTAATCTCTTATTGTATTGTCGAAGGCTTTCATGGCTGGAATCACTCAGTTCTTGTGGGTTTTTTCGGGCTATATGGCCATGTTCTAGAGGCATTTCTCCCGACGTTTCGCCTGCATCTATGGCAAGCATCCTCAGAGGTGAGGTCTGCTGGAACTGGGAAAAAATGGGTTTATATATCTGTGGAATGACCAGGGTGAGACAAAGGGCTTTTGTAAGTTGGGCTAGGTGTGAATCTTTCAACTGACCACCTTGATTAGCATACAATGGGCTGACTGTGCCTGGAGCAAACTCTTCTTGAAAGGTGATTAGATGTCCCTGCCTGTTTTTCTCTCTGCTGTTTTTGCTGTTGCAATTTTAGAATTTTTTAATACTGGTAGCCAGATTTTGTTCATTTTCATGGTTTCTTCCTTTCTGTTGAAATTGTCCACATGTTTGTGGATTTCAATGGCTTCTCTGAACAAGACCAAGAACAAGCCACGAGAGTCAAGATGAAGATCCACCCAGAGGAAAAGTGTTCCTGCCAGACATCAAGGGAACCACTGACCGCATAGGGAAGCTGATGAGGAAACACAACATACAAACGTCAGGAGAAATGCCTCTAGAACATGGCCATATAGCCCGAAAAAACCCACAAGAACTGAGTAATCTCTTATTCTCTTTCACACTTCTAAGCATTTACTGTGTGATCCATGGTCCTGCACTCACTGCTCCACATTGTCTAGATAACCCTGCCTTTCGCCTCATGTGTGCCCTATTGAGTGAATGCATGCCTTTTTATTTTTATTTTTATTTGCACAGTTATAGTAAAATCATTAAAAAATACAGTTCAAATGGATATGGAAGGGTGGCGTTTTTTGCATTGCACTAGAGGTTAACACTTAAAAACTGTGGCATAAGCACTGAGAACTGGGAAGCCCTGGCCCTTGAGCGCTCTAACTAGAGGTCAGCTGTGACCAGCAGTGCTGTGGAATTCAAAGAGGCATAAAGGGAGGGTGAAAGGGAGAAATGTGCCAAAAGGAAGGCACATCAAACCAACCCTGATTAGGACCGCCTTCCACCTGGAAACCAATGCCCTCACCATAGAAGAACATGCGGATCAAGAATAGGGCTCCACAGTCACCTATGTATCTACCACCAAGACACTACACTTGGAAGGCCATCATACTCAGACAAGAAGGAATCACCTAAGTAAGTAAGTAAGAAAGTAAGGAGTTTAACACTAGTTTGGTTGAGCCGATTATGGATTGGGCAGGGGTGGCATTACTGGTAGATTTTTATTTTTGCTGAAGGAATGTTGACATTTCTATGACCAAAAGGAATGGGGGAGGGATACCATTTCCAGTATATTTTATATAGTTTCAATACAAGGGAGCATTTTGGGTAAGCAGCAGCATGGGCTGACGAGAACTGTTTAGGGAAAACCCGAGAGTACAAGCCCAGACTAGCGATGAGCAACCCTCCTTGACTGGATGGTTAGGGAAGATCCAAGCACTCTTAGTGCCATCACTGCTAAGTGACATGAAATAAAGTCTACTCAGAAGTGCTGGTTGTGGGAGTCCCCACAATTGTTGCAGAAAATTATGTCATTCAGCACTTTCTGCAGCAATGGGTCTCCTCTCCTGCTTAGAGATCTTGTAGCCAGTCCACGGTTGATGTAGGCTTTTCTGGCTATATGGCCATGTTCTAGAAGCATTCTCTCCTAACTTTTTGCCTGCATCTATGGCAGGCATCCTCAGAGGTTGTGTGACCCTATAGCTCAAAAAACCTACAACAACCCAGCGATTCCAGCAATGAAAGCCTTTGACAATACACAGTCCAGGTAGTGGTGTCAAATTTTAAATGGTATCCCTTTGCAGAGTTATAGTTCAGTGCTCATGTCACTGTACTGTACTAGTTTTTAGGTCCCGTTGGCAAATGCTATACATTATATAAATACTTTATTATTTGACTTCAGCCCTGCCAGAAATCTAGAGAATTCTCCAGCTTCTAATTTGAATCATATCATCTAATCAATAATTCTAAAACTATTGGAGCAGTCTGAAATGAATTAATAAATGTATCTTAGCTCTGACAAGATCATAAAGCAATGACAATGAAAAAACTGTTGGAGGTTTCTCATCCCACATACTTATGCAATGCAAGCTTATACCTGTGTAGTTTGATAAGATTACACCTGAGGGTATCATCATGAAAGCTGTAAGAATATTCATATCTCTTTGTCTGGTAGCATATTTATGAGTTACATGTAACTTGTTATTTGTGCTCTTAGATTAAAAGCATTTCTAGACTAGATTCTTTCCCATTCGGTGTAGGAAAATTGGGCATAGAGCCAGAAAATGCCGGGAGGTGCACACATGTGAAAGCACACACCTTCTTCCACAGGCTTAAGCAGCAACAGCTGACTCTATCAAATCCTTTAATAGATAAGAATCAATCAAACAGAATGCAGGTTGGGTCTTTTTCTTTGTCGTGTCAGGAGCTACTTGAGAAACTGCAAGTTGCTTCTGGTGTGAGAGAATTGGCCATCTGCAAGGACGTTGCCCAGGGAGTGCCCAGATGTTTTGATGTTTTATCATCCTTGTGGGAGGCTTCTCTCGTGTCCCCGCATGAGGAGCTGGAGCTGATAGAGGAAGCTCATCCACACACTCCCCAGATTCAAACCTGCAACCTGTTGGTCTTCAGTCCTGCCGGCACTGTGGTTTAACCCACTGTGCCACCGGGGCTCCTTTGCAGGTTGGTAACACTATGTAACAAAATTTGATTTTTTTTCCTGTTTCTGGTTTGAAAGTGTTATTTCCTGTTTAATTGTGAAGTACCTACATTGAAAGTAGTTGTTATACTCCAGAAACTTTGTTTTTGTGGCTGCCACAAACTATGTTGAATTGGTTGAGATTTGATGAGATATTTATTGAAAAATTGTAACAAAATATGCTGCATGCAGGATGCAAAGAAACAAAGTTTTTGCAGTTTAATAAAATTTTCCAGTGTTTTTATGATGGAACCAATTAGGAAATAACATTTATAACTCAAGAACAAAAAAACTTGTTGACTGAAAAGTTGCAGGTTCAAATCCAGGGAGCTCATCCCGCTCCCCGGATTTGAACCAGCAACCTTTCAGTCAAGTTCAGCAGTTCAGCAGCTTAATGCACTGCACCACTGGGGCATTATATGAATAGACTTAATAAGGCCTGCTCCGGTGGGGAGGTAACGGCGCTCTAGGTAGTCATGCTGACCTTGGAGATGTCTATGGACAACGCCCGCTCTTCAGCTTAGAAAATGGAGATGAGCACCAACTCCCAGAGTCGAACATGACTAGACTTAATGTCAGGGGAAAACCTTTACCTTTACATTTTAGTGTAATCATTACTCTTCTGAACCTAGTTTTAATTCACATTTTCTTGTTTTTTTTTTTTTCCAAAAAAACTACTGTTAAAATGGTTTTTGTTTCTTTCTATATATTTAAGTGAGCTTTTAATGTGTAAGCAGGGGTGGCTCTTTTTTGAACTTTTTATATCTTCTAACTTTTGTACATTTTTAGTTGATTTGAAAACATTATATGATTTTAATTGTTTTACATTGTGTACCTTGGGAAGTCAGATCTGGACACGGTGGTCCACGCTCTTGTTACATCCCGGTTGGATTACTGCAACGCACTCTACGTGGGGTTGCCTTTGAAGACTGCTCGGAAACTTCAACTAGTCCAGCGAGAAGCAGCCAGATTACTCACTGGAGCGGCGTACAGGGAGCATACCACCCCTCTGTTTTGCCAGCTCCACTGGCTGCCGATCCAATTCCGAGCACAATTCAAAGTGCTGATTTTGACCTACAAAACCCTATACAGTTCCGGCCCAGTGTATTTGTCCGAACGGATCTCCCTCTACATCCCATCTCGAAATTTAAGATCGTCTGGGGAGGCCCTGCTCTCGACCCCACCACTATCAAAGTGAGGTTGGCGGGGACGAGGAGCAGGGCCTTCTCAGTGGTGGCCCCTCACCTGTGGAACTCACTCCCTGGGGAGATTAGAACAGCGACTTCCCTTTTGGCGTTCAGAAAAAAATTGAAGACCTGGATATGGGACCAAGCTTTTGGATATTCTGGCAGCTAAGGAAAGATCTGACGATAAACAAGGGCGAACGGAATGGAATGGATAAACGGACTCTGAACACTGAGCATGAGATTGTTTTACTGTTTTACTATGTATTAATGTTTTTAACTTGTTAATCGTTTAAATTGCTTTTATGTATTGTTTGTTTATTGATTTAGGCATCGACTTGTGCCTTCGTTTGTAAGCCGCCCTGAGTCCCCCCTCGGGGGTGAGAAGGGCAGGGTAGAAGTAATTGAAATAAATAATAAAATAAATACACTATGCAAATATTTTTCATAAATTACTTTTATACTTTGTAATATTTTTAAAAAATGATCAGTTTTCAGTACAATACAAAGATTTATATACAAACAAGAACAAAGGAAAAAGTAGTTAAAAAAACAGCAGTGAGGAATTCATATTCAACTTCTGATTTTTCTAAGGGTGGATGTATATCTTATTATTGAAAACCACTTTTCCAGCTATTAGGTCTATTCATATACTGCCCTGGTGGTGCAGTGCATTAAACTGCTGAGCTGCTGAACTTGCTGACCGAAAGGTTGCTGGTTTGAATCTGGGGAGCAGGGTGAGTTCCTGCTGTTAGCCCCAGCTTCTGCCAACCTAGCTGTTCGAAAACATACAAATGTGAGTAGATCAATGGAGATGAGCACCAACCCCTAGAGTCGGACACGACTGGACTTAGTGTCAGGGGAAAACTTTTAACTTTACTTATACTTTTAAATGTCCATTAAATTTTGGACTGAAATACAGAAAAAAAAAATCATCACCTCATGACCATGAGAGGCATCAGGGTTGAAACAAGCTGAATAGCTCATGTTTTTTTTTTAACTCTCGCTCCTCTCTCTTTTTCTCTATTGCTCAAATGCACACATACAGTTCTTATTCAAGTAAATCATTGTTCATAAAGCATGCAGGATTCTAAGGCTTGCACAGCCTTCATATTTTAGAAGTGGTGTTTTGGCACCAGTTTCACCTGGTATTGATGTCAGCCTTTGAATTCTTTCTTAAGCAAGATGTTTTCTGAATGTTTGGGAGGTACATGAGTTTTGTGAAAGAGGAATTAGCATCAGTATATTCCTGATATTTTTAAAAACATTACCGTTTCTGGTTCTTTTTATTTCGTAAAACGTTTGTTCTCATTCAGTGAAACGAGCCTGCAAAAACCAATGGAGTAGAAGTGTATGCAAGAACCTTGGAATAAAACTTTGCCTGCTAGTCCTTTTTCTCTTTCTCTCTTTGGGCTGAAAGAAATGGACTGGTGGTCCTATGCGTGGAGGAATGGGGGAGCACACTTCAGGAGGCCGACGTGACTGAAGGCAGCTCTCCAATTTGCCAAAGCCCTGAAACAAAGGCAATTGGCTGGAAAGAATTGTCTCATAGAAACTGTCATTTACAAATTCCTCTTCTTCATTTTTCTCTCAGCAAGCCAAAAATGAGATGGGATTGGCAGGGGGATGGGGGAGAGGAATAGTTGCCCTAGAGGCAAATAGCATACAAAGCTTTCTTCCTAGAAAAGGGTGAGAAGGTGGGAGGATTCTGCACAAATCCAATAAAGCATTAACGACCAGGACTCTCCTCCCTTTTATATGATGGCATTTTACCATCACTTAAACAAGTAATGCAAACACCAACCAATGCCTGAATTTACATACATTCTTTCCAAGCATTGTTCTATGGAGAGTTGACTTTAATGGCATAAGGGCTGCATTTTGTTCCCTGTGAAAAACTCATCGACCCAATAATGGATGTTATAGTGCTAGAGATGTCTGATTCTGCAAGTTTTATTGACCACAGGGGTCTTTTAAATTGGAAAGTAAAAGGAAACATGAAACCTTTTGGTTCTATGCCATCTCAAAAAGAAATTGAGCTGATACTCTAGCTATGATTTCACAGGCCCTTTATGATAACCAGATAGTAGTCCCCTGGTGAACTAGGGCAGGCAACTGCGATCCTCCAAAAGCGATTGAACTGCAAGTCCCATCTGCTCTATCCTGCATAACTTAAAATGAGAAAGATTGGAAGTTGCAGTCCAAAAATATCTACAGGGTTCCTGTTAGGTTCACCTGATCTCTGTAATTCTCCCAAGAGCATATGTTTTAGAGATGCGATATAGTTTAGTACAACACCATTCCAAATTGTGTTGATAGTTTCCGTTTTTATCTCATTCATCTCTTAATGAGCTTAATGTTTGAGCTTCATAATAACCCTGTGAGGAAAATTATGCTGAAGGATAGTGACCTAAATCCAATTAGTTCTAACCTAGTCCAGATAGATTGAATTAATGGAAATTTATAAATTTCAATCTGCATTTCATCAATTCATTGTGTCTATTATGACCTCTTTACACGGGGCTAAAATTGGCAGCATGGCGGGCATCCACAGAGCCCACTAGATCCCATTAAATGATGCCGGCGAGGCTCTGTGGGCGAAGGAGGGCAGAGCCGGCATATGCTACCACCATGGCAACACGGGAGGCTTCCTGTGTTGCAATCTGAATCAATGAGGGGAAACCGCACGTTCCACGCTTTCCCCCATGAGATGAAAGACATCTGCAATGGGGCAATGCAGGGTGTGGGGTGCCAGGTTCCCTCCCCCCATGATGCAGAACAATGTGGGATGATTCAAACTGCTACCCATGTTGCAGTTTGAATCAATGTGGGGAAGCCACATGCTCCACACTTTCTCCCATGAGATAAAAGACATCTGCAATGGGGCAATGCAGGGTGTGGGGTGCCAGGTTCCCCACAACCCCCGATGATGCAGAACAATGTGGAATGATTCCAGCGGCCGTGTGACAAGGGCATTAGAACTAACAAGAGGATGTAGCACGAATACAGCCTTATGGCTGTACGGAAATAACTGCAGGCCTCGAGGCTATAATCACTGTCCAAACTTCCTACTTCATTCTGTTCAATGTCTAGTTTTTTTAAAATGCCATCTCATAAAAATTCTCAGGAACTTGAAGCTTGCTCTGTTTTGTGGAATTTTAGCTGGCCACTAGTGGACTTCAGTTTTGTTTTGTTCCTATGGACCAACAAAACCACTTTGCTTTTACCCATGGGTGCTACATTAACAATGGGGACAATAGTGGGAAAACACATTTTCTCAATATGTACAGCACTGTAGCTTGAACTTTCTGGAAATACGGTAAGGTATAGAGGGGAAAACTGACAATTTTGGCCAGGAATTTTGATATTACAATTTAAAACAGAATTTATGAGGTATGGTTTTCATAGAACCATAGAAAAATAGAGTTGGAAGAGACCACATTGGCCATCTAGTCCAACCTGCTGCCATGCAGGAAAAGCACAATTAGTTTTCCTGACAGATGGCAGAGAGCATTGGTAACCTCTGTTGATCTCAAGTCTTTTAGTTATTTCAATATAATTGTAATGATGTTAATATAGCAATAAGGTGATATAATCACACTTAGGGTGTGACTCCGAAAAGTGAAGGTTTTCTTCGTCACAAGATTTTGTGGGGTATGTGGCAGTCGTTGAGAAGAAAAATAATTATAATTTAATGAAATTAATGAAAGAATGAAGTTTTACCTTAGGAAGATTTCTTAAGGGTGCGGAGAGGTAATTCTGGTGGAAGGGAAAATGACAGATGGTATAGAGGACAGGAA